GCTGCGAGAAACGCTGCAAGAAGAAGAGATCTTGCGGTAAACACAATTGCAATCAGTTGTGCTGCATCGACATCGAGCACATCTGTCCGCTGCCGTGTTCGAAAACCTTGAGCTGTGGTCGGCACAAGTGTCAGGAGAGGTGTCACATGGGTAAGTGCACGCGCTTGTCCATAATCGTATCTACGTATATTAGAAATTGTACGATATGAAACGAAATTTTTTTCCTCTCCAACAGGAAGATGTGCACCTTGCTGGGAGAGCAGTTTTGAGGAATTGTACTGCGAGTGCGGCGCCGAGGTGATTTATCCGCCAGTACCATGCGGCACAAGGAGACCCACTTGCAACCGACCGTGTTCGCGCGAACATCTCTGCGACCACGAGGTATTGCACAACTGTCACAGCGAGCCTACATGTCCACCTTGCAGTGTCCTGACCCAGAGATGGTGCCACGGCAGACACGAACTCAGGAAGGCAGTACCGTGCCACGTGAAAGAGATTTCGTGCGGTCTGCCGTGCAACAAGCCGTTGGCGTGTGGACGGCATAAATGCATCACAATGTGCCACTCTGGACCCTGTGAGAGACCCGGACAACAATGCACGCAACCTTGTGCCACGACGAGGGAGCTGTGCGGACATATCTGCGCTGCTCCTTGCCACGATGGCAAGTGTCCAGATTCTCCTTGTAAAGAGATGGTTAAGGTAAGAATAATTTCTATCTTTGTGTTAAGGGACCATTCACACGTCATGGTGAAATTTCAACAAGTTTTGCACAATACTATGGGATTATATTTACGATTATATTATAGGTGACGTGTCAGTGTGGACATAGGACTATGAGTCGGGTCTGTGCAGATAATGCGCGGGAATATCAGAGGATAGCAAGCAACATATTGGCTAGTAAGATGGCCGATATGCAACTCGGTCACTCCGTCGATTTGGAAGAAGTGTTCGGACAAGGTACGAAAAAGCAGAATCAGTTGAAGACTTTGGAATGCAACGACGAGTGCAAGATAATAGAAAGAAACAGGAGGCTCGCGTTAGGACTGCAGATCGTCAACCCAGATTTAAGTGGCAAACTGATGCCCAGATACAGCGATTACATGAAACAGTGGGCCAAAAAAGACCCGCAATTCTGCCAAGTGGTTCACGACAAGTTGACGGAATTGGTGCAGCTGGCGAAGACATCCAAACAGAAGTCCCGGAGTTACTCGTTCGACATTATGAACAGGGAAAAGCGTCATTTCGTGCACGACTCGTGCCAGCACTTTGGTTGCGAGAGTCAAGCATATGATGAGGAGCCGAAGAGAAACGTCGTTGCCACTGCCGTGAAAGATAAGGTAAAAACACATTTTATTAAAGCATGTATCGTCTCAGTAACGAATGTATTGCGTTGCAGTGTTGGTTGCCAAGCTACAGTTTACTAGAAATGATACAAAGAGAGAAGGGACAAAGAAAGGTTCCAGGTCCGGTACTTAACGCTTCGAAGGGAAATAATTCTACAAAGTAAGATATCTATTTATAATTGTCGGAATTAATGAATGAATGTATAATATGATAATTAAATGATTGCAGGACTGTTCTTTCATTACCTGTAAAACAGAATCAGCAATTGCTGCCATCATCGTCAACTGCTAAAACTGCTGACAAAGAAATAGATTATTTTGACTATCGAGGATAAATCAGTAATATGTAAAGGATAATGCGAGTTATACAATGTGTATATAATATTATAAATAGGACTTAAAAAATGGGTACAACTGTAATTATACAATTGATAGGGCGAGTTTTTAAATTCATCGATTAATAGATCGCATTATGCGCAAATGCAACTTTTACAGAGCAAAGTTGCCTTTGCGCATAATGCGATTGATCAATCGATGAATTTAAAAACTCGCCCATACTGATTAAAGGCCATTGCACGTAACAAAGTTTTAGTCATAATTGTAAGGCCGTAAGAAAATAGACCATTCGCACTCGATTATTCTTCGAGCTCAAGGAGAATAATCGACTGTGATTGGTCTATTTTCTTACGGCCTTACGATTATGACTAAAACTTTGTTACGTGCAATGGCCTTTATACTGATGATGATACAATTGATACTGTGCTCGAACAGCTCCAAGAGTAGAAATTTGAAGATCAAACTTTAAATTCGTTCGAGTTTGAAGATATTTAAAATAGATACGAAAATAGCATGCCTAAAAATGTAATAATAAAGAGGAATCATCAAGATACATTTTTTGTCGCTAAAAGATGCTGTTCCTTTATTCCAAAGTTATATGCCATAAGATCGATCTTTAAATTCCACAACGCTTTTATTATCCGAAATAGATTTCGCGATTAATCTATTAAGTATGATTATAGAGGAGTTTTTGTATAAATTCGAAATATACAGGAAAAGTATGGTCGTAATTCAATTTTTCTTCATCTTTATTTCTACACAATTCTTTTTTCTCAATAAACCTTTTACATAGTTGTTGATTATATTGATACCTCTTAAACATAACAATATGATGATTCTAATTAATAAAGAGACTAATATGATAAAGCAATATAAATAATAGCGAATTTTATACTGCTTTTAACTACATCACTACAAGACAAATTCTTATCACGGACATAATACAGATATACAAAGTATCTAAAAATCAAATGATAGGATAAAGAAATTTATTCTAAGTAATATTTTTTTTTTGCTTGGTCAGAACTATATTGCTAAGAAAGTCAGTGCTTTATAGGTGCTATATGAGATATAGACTATATCTTTTGGGCTTTTGAGATTATTTGAAAACGTTTTCAAGATCTTCAGATATTTTTTTATAATATATTAATAACAGTTATGGCGCAATCAATCTTGATTAAATATATGTAATATTTATCGTAACTCACAACTTTATTGTACATATATTTAACGACCAAATAGTCATGTTAAGAAATTATTTTTAATTCAGATATAGAACAATAGAGAGCTTCCATTGAGCTATATAGAGAGCTTCTATTGAAAACTTTAATCTTAAACAAATATATCTTATATTTGTTTTATATATAACTATTGAATCTGCGATATTATCATTTTGCATCAGTAAAAATATCAATTTATACATGTATATATGATAATTTCGGAATTCTTATCGATTTGATTAAAACGACAGTTTTTTGTTATTGTACATCCAATCGTATATAAATATTTATCTATATCTATGTATATAGTTTTGTAGAAGAGTTCTTGTTAGGATAATAAGACTTTGTATCTCTTGTAAACATTTAAAATAGTTAACACGAGTATTTGGCACATGAAACATCAATGTTATATTTTATATCGCTACTTTTCATACTATAAATTTCAAACAGATATTTATTCTCTGAGACCTTTTATGCTCCTGTAAGTATTACTAATACTACTAGAATTCTCACTTGTTCTATATTTGGTTTTATGAGTGAGGTAAACAGAATATAATACATAAATAGTAAGTTAACATTAATGGATATATACGCTTGTACGAAAGAGAAATAAAAAAAATGCAAAAATATCTAATACCGCACACAACAAATAAAATATTACGGTGTGCGCAGTACCAATACACACGATATAATTTTAGCTGTAATTTTGTAAAAATAAAAAAAATTATAAAATTATAAATTAAAATATATAGACAGATGCGTGAACACAATAAAATATTACGTACCCTAATTATATAAGATATTGAAGGTATGATAAATTATTGTATACAATTGCAACAAAGCTATGATATAGCTCTGTTTTTATCATAAACTCACTTTTACAGTCTTTTATCTCACGGAATATAGTGTTATTTAAGCTTACATAAGCGTAAAATGGCCTCCTATTCTAAACACATAAATATGATATATCACATGTAGGATCACAACACTGTTACAAATTCAACTTGCAGATAAGTCATTTATGTATTATTTATGTATCATTGTTGTAATTTTGTTGAACATTTAGTAGTAGGGCACTTTGAGAGTTTGGGTTCGTACTTTTACTTCTAAGCATTGGTGCGGTTGACACACAGTAAAAACGCGTTATTTTATGTATTATCGATAAAAGTCACCTACTATTTTAACGTCTTTGTTTATATACAGCCTGTTTCCTTTCTTTTCTTTCTTTTATTTCGAAAATATCCTTTCAAATTTTATATAGAAGTTAAAAAATGATATATACATATATATATGTATATATTTGTTTAACAGCAAAAAAATATATATATCTTTCTGAGAACACAGTGAACGTCATTAAATTAATTCATCGGGGAAACTATAATCTAATTTAAAAAATAGATATCTGTTTTTGTGAGTATGTGCTTCGAATGAACACTTGGCATAAAAAGTGATTTTTAGAAAATGCTACGTGACTATTGCATTTGTTATTAGATGCTGTCTAAACACTTATTTCATGTTTAGAATGTTATGCTCGTCTATTGCTATGTTTTCGTATATAGCCAAATGTTTTGAGACTCCGTCTTTCTTATTTTTATCACGTACTAGTGCACAATCTTCTATCTGGTTATATTCTCGTAATGTTTTGTCAATTTTTGAAATTTTAATTTTTCGCGGTTCGAGTTCCCCAAAATTCTTCAGTCTTAGAATTTTAATTACCGCTACCTCTTGACTGATTATGTTCTTCTGATACTTTCTTGATTTTTTAAAAATAAAAAAATTGATGTCGGTAGAATTGTTAAATAATGTCAAAAATTAGTATAGTCGAAAAAATAGGTTGTAACTTTACCGACCGTCGAATGCGTCGGTAACTTTAGTTATTTACATCAGCCACCGACAAAAATTTCGATTCTTCAAAAATTGAGTGAGAATACATAATCAACAAAAAAGTCGCATTAAAATTCCGAGAATAAAATTTCCAAAAATTCTTGAAATTATTAATTTAAGGTTTTAAACATCAGAAATTTTAAATCTCAAAAATCGATAATAAAAATTATCGATATTAGGAGAATATGAGCAGATAGGAAGTTGTATAAAACTCCAAGAATTGCAATTTTAAAAATTATTAAAATTTTTAAATCTATTTTAATTTGTTTTTAAATCTGTTTTAAATTACTTTTTTGAATGTTAAAAATTTCAACTTAAAAAAAAATTGGATATTACGATGCCTTCGCACTGCATGCATTTTCGATAGAAATTGTTATCAATTCATGATTAAAACTACATATTTAATTAACTATATTAAATAAGTATTTAATTTTGTATAATTCCTTTTTTCAATAAAAATAAATTTTTACGAGCATTGAAGAAAGCAACAAACATAAATTGTCGAAAAAATACTGAGAGTCATATATGTATACGTTTGTAAAATCGATTAATGAAAATAATCACAGAGTCATTATAAAAGACATTAGTCTTGAAAGAGTAATATCAAGATTTCATTTAAAAAATTAAGAAAAATTTTCATTTGGCATCTTGGTTTTTGGATTATAATTACGCTTAGATAAACTATTGCTTTATATATAAGGATTATTACCTCGATTTACGCGCGGGGAATAATTAGGATAATTACTCAGATACTGATGTCGCGGACTTACTGATGGCTGTTTAGTTATATTCGCCATGGCGCAGCCCATCACAAATTCAAATATCCTGAGTATCGTTTGATACAGCAGCCACGGCCGCGGCTTGGGAAACTGCGTCGGTTCTGGTTCCGTACCGTATGGTACAGTTTCAGCAACGAGTCCTAAAAAAATCGATTAACGTTATTCTACACACACACACGTATTGTTTTACAAAAAAAATTCAATTTTATATATTATATTAAAAAATCATTTATTGTTACACTATTGTAAATACCATATGGTCCAAAAATACGAAAGGCATCCGTGACGCATAGGAGGATCCCTAAAATTGCAGTAGCGCGCGTAACATTTAATACTTTTTGCATCTGAGATTTCCTGGCAATTGCGGTATCCGCTTCCGGTATATGCAGCGGTGTATCGGATTTCGCTCGATTCACGTACGCGATGTGATTCAGTATCGAATGAAGGGTGAAGTCCGTGCCCTAGAAATAACGTGGTCATACAGTTCTTAAACAATACGTTCTAGGCATCTAAAAGAACGTCATTTAAAATATGATATTTCAGAGATTTGCGTCTGTATTCTGTGGATTTAACCGTTTAATAAGCACTACGTACCATAATTCTTGCTTCAACAGGCGTATTTTCGGGAAGCAAGTTAGTCTCCGGCGTGATATCCTCTGGGTCTTCAATATTTTTGTCGTTCCATGACAAATTCTTTTTGCGCACTTTCGGCTCTTCGTCTTTGCTCTTTGACTTTTCAGTCATCAGTGCCGCTTTCTCGCTGCAATCAGGATGATCTGAATCTGATTCAGATTTCTCCTGCACCTCCGGCTTAATAGGTACTATACTCTGAAAGTGTGTGGGACTCCTGTCTAGAGTTCTGATACTGATATCGCTGCTACGACGATTTATCATTAACGGCTTAATATGAACGAACTCGGAATTGCGTCGATAGGAACTCTCAGAATTTCTACGCGAATCGGGTCTGGGTGACGGGATGAAAGTACCAATATCGGAATTGCGCCTTGATTCTGAAACATTGTTAAGCAATATGAGAATGAGATAAAACAAAAATATAATGTCCAAAGGAGAGGACGGTAGACTTAAAATGTTTTTTTTTTTTTTTTTAAAGATTGCTCGTTTGTACGAATCAGATTTTCTTTTTACCTGTGGGGCTAAGATCAAGAACTTTGGGTAATCTAGGATATTCGTCAGGCGGCAACATTCTTTTGGGCGTTCTGTTACCGAAATCGCTATTCCTCCTGAGCTTGGTTGCGAATTGCGAGCCACGATTCTTCTCGTGAGTAAAGTCGGAACATCGTCTCAGTTCCCGAGTGCTGCCTGTCGGCGTGATATTCTCCGAGTATCGTCGTGGGCTCTCAGGTGAGCGACTCCTCTCAAACTCCTCTCGCATCCTCGGCAAGGATCTGGGACTACCTTCCGTCGTACGTTTGCATTCCGTCGCATCGTCCTCGTTTACAAATCGAACGCTACATTCCGAATTTCTGCGCGAGGATTTGGTGGACGTGTCGCTGCCTCGTCGGCTGGCCATGGAGGCCATGGAGCTTCTACGACTCGGGCTGGACACGGTTATAATCGGCAGATTAGCGGTCGACGGAGTAGGGGTGGGTGGTCTAACGTAGACTTCTGGTACTGAGGACTTGTGTTCCTGCAACGGTGATTGTGCGGTGCACGTAGGTATCGTAGCATTCTGTACTTCCTTTTGCGCTGGTCCCTCTATCTTGCATACCTTAGCGATAATTGTGACTCGCGACTCTAAAATCAGATCTCAATGAGAAATATATTTACACACGTTTCTGGACGGTTTATGATAAAATAATGTTTGCTGCGTATTACCTCCTTCCACGGGTGCTTCCTCTGCACTTTTATTCACGTTTACAGGCGCACTTTCTTCCGGATTCTTCATCTTAACTGGGCCAAGTAAAGTAGGTACCAGCGCGGCAGCGACCGAAGTCGCCAGATTGCTATACGGTGCCAACATCGCGAGTTGCATGATACCTGAGTTACAGAAGTAAATTCTTGTGTACAATTCCGAAACAAACGAAGAAAAGTAACAATTTTAAAAGAATAAAAATTGACTTATAAATAGACAATCAATAACTGACCTTTCTGATGTGCATTGGAATTGTCCCGCGTCAACATGCTACTTGGCATAGTTTGGAGCAAATGATCAACTTTGTGAGCCGCGTGTAGGAATGCGAGGTACAAAAGAATACTCCAGACGAGAAATGCCGCTTGGACCATGTATTTTGCCATGTAGCAATTGTGGGAGGACAGAACAATATCGCTGGCGATTATGAAGAAGAAGTGTGCTGTTATAATGAGGCTGAGGCAGGATTCCTTCTGTATCTTCTCTGGACCAAATTTCAGCTGGAAGTTGATCATATAAAAGATATAGCAATGCACTCAACTAAAACCTATTAATTATTCAGTTTAAGCGGTAAACACCTTCGTCAGTTGCAGGAAAGCCAGTTGTATCAGACAAAAGGCAGACGTAATGCATGGATATCCAATGTCCCATATAATTGAGCCAATAACTTTGGGCAGAATTTCCTTAAGATTGTACGCGTCTATGAACAAGGAAGCGGCTCTCGATGCCCCGAGTAAACATAAGAATATATTAATCGTGGTCATAAACGGCCTGGTTGATATGAGAGATCTAAAGGACAGTTAAGTGTGCGAAGATGTAAACTTTCGTCGATGCATATCATTAATGCACGTATAGCGATACGAACCTTAAATTTAGAATAGAGAAGAATGTGTAAAACCCTAGTACAAAGAAGAGGCATGCAAAGCTGTATGCATGTAGTAGAAACGCCCATCTTATGTCTTGTTGTATCGCACTCCACGACGGTGCAGTGACCAGTGATTTGTCTAGGAACGCAGAGTTTGATGAATTTGATGATACACAGTTCTGCCCTGGGACAGATACTGGGGTTGTTACGTTTATACCTAATGATAAAAACATCGAATTAAAAATAGAATGATGCATGTATGTATATACATATGTACATATATATACATACACACACATATATAGGTCAGTATAGGTAGAACAGTCACTCTATAAAGAGTTTACATAATACAAAACATAACAACATAATTTATGCCGTAATATTATTCTACATAATTTATAATTTATTGCTTGAATTAACATAGCTTCCCAAGCTTCAGTTCAATAGGAAATATGCTGTGCTTGATTTGACGCACCATCATTTCGGTATGTCGAACATTTTATATACAAAAATGGCCCTTGTCGTCATTCTATGTATATTAAAAATTAAGATAAATGGTAAAAAACTGACCATGAGTCCAATTATCCAGCCCATCCATAATCCCTCGATATGTCCACAGCACATCACTGAATCTAGTAATTGGCAGTCAGTCTTATGATAGACAGTTAATGTAGCATTTAATGTAGCACGTTCTGCGAACTTGTGAAATGTGGTAGCAGCAACAGGCTTTACCTATAGAATGACTCGATTCACGCACCCCTTCTCACTGAATACAACCACTGTCTCCCTTCAGTTAGGATTATTGATCTTAGCTGAAGAGGATTGGAGGGGGCACACATGCCCACATAAAGCACCTGGCTTGCTGGTCAGTTGTTTATCTTTAGAGTTTAAATAGAGCAGTGTTAAATTTATCGTTCTATGTTATGTTATGATTCACAGGCCTGTTATTTTTGTAAAAGGAAACTACTGTCTTAGTTTCTATCGATTACATTCTCTAAGAAACGTAAATTCCGAACGTTGCGTAAAGGGATATCGGAAGGCAAAGTGGTTAAAAATAGTTCGATAACGTATTAAATATTGAACTCTTGTGAATATTTCAAGCAAACCGTGCTCTGTAAAATCATAACTTTAGAAAAATCGATTTCTAATATCAATTTTTTTCTTTAAGATAATTAATTCTCTTCGTAAATAGTAATCATTATGTGAGTTTTAAGTTAATTAATTTTATAGAAAAGAATTATATATAAATATTATTTTTGCGTTAATATTACATATTAATATATTGAATAAAATTGGAATTATTATGAGATATCATATTATATCAATATATCAAGTTAAGTTATTAATTTCCAACACAGATAATAAATACTAATTGTTTCCAAACATTCCATGATTCATTCTTAATTACCCTAAATATCGAAATCTTGTAAATAATTCGAAAATTAAATAATAAGAAATTTGAGAATCATCCAGCATAATATATAATAAAATTTAAAATAACGCAGAAACATTTATTTTAGAAAAAGTTTTTGTTATTTTTTCTTAAAGTTTACCTAATTTATTATAAAATAACAGTTTACATCAATAAATTTATGTAATAGTTATAAGTATTAATAAAGCATTAATATAGAAAAAATATATTATTTATCGATACATTACTTTATCATAAATTTAATTAACACTTTTGTATCATATATATATATATATATATTATTTTTTTAAAAAGACTTCTATTTATTAAATTTATATTGATTTTTACTTAAAGACAACTTACATAATGTTAAATAGCAGGAATAAAAATATAAAGTAATATTACAAAGGGATAAAATGCTTTAAATAATTTAATCTAAATAATGAATCTGACAAAATGTAGTATATACAAGTGTATTCATATAGTACATAACGTATGTTCTCACATATGACGGATGCTTTGGAAGTAGTACCGCTCATGCAGGAAGTTCTTCTGTTTCCTCTCAATGTAACTGACAAGCTCTGACGGCGATCAGTTGCAGGAGGATGAATACAGGACTCAAAACTTCTGAATACTCCAATGTGCTTTGTCCAGAGAGCTTTTTACATAGAAGATACTTAAAAACAAAGACTAATAGTAATGATATTTGACTCCATAACGCACGCAAGATCCCCACCCTGATCATTCCTTCCATGTACATTCTTATGAATATAATTGCGCAAAAGTATGTATTCAAGCCATCGGCTATAAAGAGAGGCGAAAAAACTTCCCACCATCCTGACGGCCCCAAAAAGTAATTTTCATCTAATTTTAGAGCTAGCAGTACAGTGAAGAACGTTAAGGCAATCAAGTTTATCCATATCTCAAAGATTGTTAAACCTAACCAGTGAACCAATTCGTTCAAAGAGAAGATCATTGTAAAAAATTATACAGTTTTGTACCAGCTATATTGGAATAGTGATTTATCTAATAATTCCATTCACACTATTATGTACACTGTTATGGCTCAAATATATCGTTTTGCAGAGTCTCAATATTAGTTTGTCTCTATTTAGATCTCAGCACAGCCACTGGCACTCTCCTAACAATGCGTATGTGTATAGCAGAGTTTTGCCTGTTGTTTATCTCGTCGTCCACATCGTCGGTTAATGCCTCTAGATTATCTGCAATCAACGAGATATCCCTAAAACTTTGTATCAGTTTGATTATGCACAGGCTGCATTCGTCTTGACGTTTTCAGCGCTGAAAGCATCGCTCTATCTTCGTTTGATGTTTGATGTGCAACAAAGATAGAATGATCCTGAAAACGTCAAGACGAACCCAGCCATCGAAAAAAGGTATACATACCTACTAAATCGACGGTAGATGTTTTAATATCAAGATCTAAAGTCTCATGATGAATTTCCTTCAATCGCAGAGCCAAGCTGGCTGCTTTGCACACGACAGCACCAAGACCATGGATGACCAGTTCAGACGCGCCTTTATCGAACAGTTTCTCACATTTGTACAATTGTCCCTTGAAAAAAATTTGCAAACGCTTAAGAAAGGATGACGACGGAGTAACAAACAGATATGTATTCGTTTCACAGAAGTGTTGCAACGACCGGGAAGGTTATGATTCCCAGATGCGAGGTACCTTGAAAGGAGTCTTGTTATTCACATAGATATCTCTGTCGCTTCTACTGAACTTGAAGGGCTGCCGCTTTCGCAGAGCGTGCTTCGCGTCCAACGGCAACTTGTCGTTTTTGCGGCATGCGCCCTTCTGCCCGGAGAGGGTCTCATTTAACCCCGGATTGCTGTCCACCGTGGCCATTCTAGCGTTGCT